CTGAGGACACCAGAGCTGTGTGCAGGATTCCAGGTGGGTCTCCCAGAGCAGAGCAGAGGGGAAGAATCACCTCCTTGGACCTGCTGCCCACACTGCTGTGGGTGTAGCCCAGGAGTTTTTTGATCTCAGTTGCTCTGCCCCTATCCACAAATTCTGTGGCCCCATCACAGAAGGTCACCAAACTCCTCAGGCAAATCCACAGAGCCCCCAGATCTGCTGCGTTGGCACGGAGCACTGTGTGTGTGAGGACTGGGGGCTCTGCTGGCTCAGGGGGTGAGAGCTGGATGCTGCACCCAGACATACACCAGTGCTCAGCTTTCTCTTCTCTTGCCAGCCATGTCTCAAGCCGTGCAGACCAACGGGACACAGCCCCTGAGCAAAACCTGGGAGCTCAGCCTGTATGAACTGCAGAGAACACCTCAGGTACCGTGTGCTGCTGTGCTGGGCTTTGGGTGCTCGGTGCTGTTGCGTGTTTGCTTTGTCTTTTCACTGTGCTTCCCTCCAGTAAAACATGCTTCCTCCCTGAGGAATCACTGAGCTTTTCCTTCCTCTGGTGCTAGGAAGCCATCACGGATGGCCTGGAGATCGTGGTGTCCCCCCGGAGCCTGCACAGTGAGCTGATGTGTCCCATCTGTCTGGACATGCTGAAGAACACCATGACCACAAAGGAGTGTTTGCATCGCTTCTGCGCCGACTGTATCATCACAGCCCTCAGGAGTGGGTATGTCAGTGCTGCCCAGGGCAGGGGGATTGCCCTCAGGACAAAACAGGGTCAGGACAGGTCCTGGGTGTTGGTGTGGGGCAGGTGCTGTGCTCTGGAGATTCCTCAGGATGCACCACACCTTTCATACCTCATTCAGCCCTCTCTGACAGACCAGATCTGACTCTTCCCTCATGAAAAAGTCATCCCATAACTGTTTCTTGCAAGGCATTGAAAACCTCTCTTAGCTTTTTTTTCCCCCCTCTTCAATCCAGTAACAGTAAACCAAAAATACATCACATTATTCACAAAGTCTCATCTTCCTTCTTCTTCCTTTTCCTAATAACAGATGTCAGACTCTGTGGCCTTCAGTAGTCCTAAGCAGCACTGCTGAAATGACCTACACAAAGTACAAATCATTTCTCTTGTCTTCTTCAGTTACAAGTCCAAACTTTCCCAAATAGAATCCTGAGGTAACCAACAGTCAGTGATGTCATTACCTACTTCTGATCATGGCAGTTACCTGTGCCCAGAGGTCACACTTCATTCACTGTGCCTGTGTAAATTCTGAGTAATTAGCAAAACTGAACTAGAGGGAAACAAGAACAGCATCAGGAGCACCAGACACCAGAGTTTCACTGCTGAGGCCTCCTCCTCTTACAGGAAAAAGATGGTGTGAACCTCACATTCTAGTTAAATGAGCACAAAATAGTAGGAAGGACAAGATTGGTTTAGTTTTCCTAGTAATTAGTGTTTGGGTTCCTTAACCTTTGTTTTGTCCTGTGTGAGTGTTAGAAATGATGGAATCACAGAATGATAAAATGCTAGACTGGTTTGGGTTGGAAGTGACCTGAAAACTCATCCCATCCCACCCCTGCCCTGGGCAGGGACACCTCCCCCCAGCCCAGGCTGCTCCAGCCCCATCCAGCCTGGCCTGGAACACTCCCAGGGATGGAGCAGCCACAGCTGCTCTGGGCACCCTGTGCCAGAGCCTCAGCACCTCACAGGGAACAATTTCCTCCTAAGACTATGCTTTAAAACAATTTCCACCAGACATGCATTTTTTATATGTAAAATTCCAGACAGAGAGTGAAAGGAAGAACTGGTTTGCTGAGCGAGACTTTAGAACTCTTCAATCTAAATACAGTTTGCTTGAACACACTTGAAAACAAAGAAGCAGCAGGGAGATAGATGTTTGGGATTTGAAGTCTAAACATCTGGAACTACCTGATCTGTCCCAAGACAAGCTGCATCCCAGATGTGCTCTAAATACTGAGTCTTAGTGAGCCCTTTGACCAAGAATGGCACCATCAGGGCAGAGTTTTGTTCCTGCTGGAGAGTTAGTGTTGCTTTCTCCCTTCCTGCTCATGTCTCGCACCATCAGAGTTTTGTTCCTGCTGGAGAGTTAGTCTTGTTTTCTCCCTTCCTGCACATGTCCAGCAACAAGGAGTGTCCCACGTGCCGGAAGAAGCTGGTTTCAAAGAGATCCCTTCGGCCAGACCCCAATTTTGATGCTCTCATCAGCAAGATTTACCCGAGCAGAGATGAGTATGAGGCTCATCAGGAGCGGGTGCTGGCAAGGAGAGTTTTGTTCCTGCTGGAGAGTTAGTCTTGTTTTCTCCCTTCCTGCACATGTCCAGCAACAAGGAGTGTCCCACGTGCCGGAAGAAGCTGGTTTCAAAGAGATCCCTTCGGCCAGACCCCAATTTTGATGCTCTCATCAGCAAGATTTACCCGAGCAGAGATGAGTATGAGGCTCATCAGGAGCGGGTGCTGGCAAGGATCAGCAAGCACAACAACCAGCAAGCTCTGAGCCACAGCATTGAGGAGGGATTAAAGATTCAGGCTATGAACAGGTATGTAATCCACCTGGTTTGTCCACGTGTCACCTCACTTGCCTTGGCACTAAAAATACACTGCCTGTCCTCACTCCCTCTACAGCCTGAGATTCCTCTGAACTCTGCCAAAATAGCTGTTAACCTTTTGTCTAGTAGAAACCTTTGTATCACTCTCTGCAACTTCTCTTGTCCATTTCTGATGTACATTTCAGCTCAGCTTTACCAAATCGTGGCTATTGTGTCCGAGATAACAAACCAGAATGGAACAAATCCTCTACCAAAATACTACCCTTAAGTGCGAGTAACTGCACATAGTACCAGGTTTCAGTTGCCCCTTAATTCCCAGGCTGGAATGTGTGGTGTTTCCACCACAGTGAAATTCAGAGTGTGCATTTAAACCTAAGAGAGGGAGCTGGGAAAGAGGCCCCAAACCTTTATGTTGTGGTGAAGCATGTGATGACTTGTGTTTTTAATCCCATGTGGATTCATGTGTTATAGGTGAAAATAATCACAGAATCAACCAGGTTGGAAGAGACCTCCGAGATCATCCAGTCCAACCCTCCCGTGGTCACTAGCCCATGGCACTAAGTGCCACATCCAGTCTCAGCTTGAAAACCTCCAGGGATGGGGAATCCACCACCTCCCTGGGCAGCACATTCCAATGCCTGTCTCTCCCGAAAAAATCTCTTCCTAATCTCCAACCTAACCCTCCCCTGGCAGAGCTTGAGTCTGTGCCCTCTTGTCCTGCTGCTGGTTGCCTGGGAGAAGAGACCAACCCCCACCTGACTCCAACCTCCTGTCAGGGAGTTGCAGAGGGTGATGAGGTCTCCCCTGAGCCTCCTCTTCTCCAGGCTGAACACCCCCAGCTCCCTAAAATAGCCTTAAAATATGTCTAAAAGATGTTTGAGGGATAGGAAAAATCCATGGTTTTGTTTGTGAATATCTTTTCATAAAAAGAAAAGTCAATACATGTTTTAAACTTTAAATCTCTTTGGAATGTTCAGTGCTTGTGTGTGCACATGTCTGACTCCTGGTGTGAGGGAGGAGCTGTCTGAGTGTTGTGGGCCTGAACTCTGACTGGGGATTAGGGTTTGTTTCTGCCCTTTTCTGCCCAGGTTACAGCGTGGCAAGAAGCAGCAGATTGAGAATGGCAGTGGAGCAGAGGATAACGGCGACAGCTCGCACTGCAGCAATGCCTCCACGCACAGCAACCAGGAGGCAGGGCCCAGCAACAAGAGGACCAAAACCTCAGATGATTCCGGGCTGGAACTGGACAATAACAACACAACTGTGGCCATAGACCCTGTGATGGATGGGGCAAGTGAAATCGAGTTGGTCTTCAGGCCTCACCCGACCCTCATGGAGAACGACGACAGCGCGCAGACGAGGTGAGGATCTGCTCCTCCTCGTGTGTTCTGTGCTTTGCTGCTGCTGCTGCTGTTGTTCTTTGTTGCTTCTTAGGGCTTTTAAAATTTGAATCTATTTACTTCAGTCATGTCCCATCCTGTTTAACCATCTCATAGAATCCCACAATGGTTTGGGTTGGAAGGACCTTGAAAGGTCAACTAGTTCCACCCCTGCCCTGGGCAGGGACACCTCCCCCCAGCCCACGCTGCTCCAAGGCCCTCCAGCCTGGCCTGGAACACTCCCAGGGATGGAGCAGCCACAGCTGCTCTGGGCACCCTGTGCCAGAGCCAAATGAGACATACACTCCTGGGCAACCTGTGCCAGTGCCAAATGAGACATACACTTTCTCCCTCTTTCTATTGCAAGTCAGGTAGATGCCCCTGCTCAGCTGCTGTTAAAAGCACAGTAATTACCTGTTTTAAGCCTCTGATCACAAATAAAGATGTTTTAAGGTTTCCCAGCATTGCACTTCACAGTAGGTACTGGGATGATGGTGTAGTATTGGCTCCTTTCTCCTTATTTTAAGATTCTTAAGTGTCAGCAGTTTCCAGAGCAGCTTTGTGTCAGGATTTGCATATTTTTTGGCTCATAATCCAATCCAAGCACAGACTAGAAATTTTGACTCACACCAGTGAGTTTTGTGGACTCTCTTCAGCTCTCTTCTTGACTTTGCTGCTGAGACATCTGTCTGTGATGCTTGTAAATCTATCAGAAAGTTCACTATGTGAACTGTCTTTGAAGTGAAAGACCTTTTCACAGCTGATGCTTAACATTTTGGGGTGCTGCAGATGTCGTGTTCCCATTCCTGTTGATTCCCTGTGGTTGCTGTCACAGGTACATCAAGACCTCAGGCAATGCCACGGTTGACCACTTGTCCAAGTACCTGGCTGTGAGGTTGGCTTTGGAGGAGCTGCGCAGCAAAGGAGAGTCAAACCAGATGAACCTGGACACAGCCAGTGAGAAGCAGTACACCATCTACATCGCCACGGCCAACGGGCAGTTCACTGTAAGCACCACCTCTGCCTTGGAGGGAAACTGCACTGACACAGCCCTGATGCACATGGGACCACATTCCACTCAGCTGGGCTTCTCCTGGGTTGGCTTGGGGCAAAAAATTCCCCTTTCTTTTCCTGTTGTATTTATTTTTCTGTTCCTCTTTGCCCTCTCTCCCCTCTTTCCCCTCTCTCCCCTCCCCTTCTCTTTTTACCTTTTTTCCTGAAATAATATTTTTCCTTTTCCTTTCATTTTCCTTTTTTCTTTCTCCTTTTCCTTTTATTTTCCTTTTCCTTTCCCTGTTTCCTTTTTCCAGGTTGTTTAGAAGCAGTTCAGTGGCTTTTGAGGGAAATGTAGGCAGCAAAAGGACAGTAGAAATGTAGGCAGTTGGTAGGAAAGGAGGCACATGAATTCCTTGGGGAAAATTCAGCAATGCCACCAACTACTAGTTGGCTTAGACCAATATTCAGCAGTGAGAATTGAAGAGGTAAAATATTACTTGATCTGAGAATCTTATTTCTTGGTTAGCTTGTAACTTGTGCCTGTAAGTTGTGCCACATCATGGTGACTCCTTTAAGCTGGCACAGCCTTCGGGCACAAGGAGCTGTTTCTGCAGCACCACAGTCAGATTCATTTCCATTCTGGTGTTCTCTCCTAGGTACTAAATGGGTCCTTCTCCCTGGAACTGGTCAGTGAGAAGTACTGGAAGGTGAACAAGCCCATGGAACTATACTACGCACCCACGAAGGAGCACAAATAAGCTGTGCTGGAAAGTTGGGATGGGACTAACTCTTTTTATAGCTATGACTTCTCTAATATGAACAGGAGGCACCACCAGTATTTTCATGGACAATCCATGTGATGCCTTCAGGCACTCTCAGTATACTCAGTAATATGGTTAGACAGTATTCTGGGTTGTATTTAATTTAGTCTTTGGGTTTTTTGGTTGTTCCCTAGGAGACTAAATGACCTTCTCCAGTGCATTCCAGTGTTTGAGATGCTTTTCTGTTCCTGATGCATGGTAACCGATCGAGTGTTCCACTTTGGAATGTCTTCATTTTGTCCAGGTACATCTGGATCTCTACATTTGACACAGTTCTAGTAGCCTCTGTGAAGTATTGAGCGTTGGATGGCCAAGGAAGTCTATTCAAGAGTAGCATATGCCAAGGAATGTGTTCAGTGTGGGAATTTGCTAATTGTTGTCCATCTGAAGGATGGGCAGAGTGGGTTTCTGATAGGCTGACAGGTAAATGTTTCCCTAGGAAAGGTTTATGATGTCATTTTCTTGGGAACAAACGTGAGCTTGGCATCTTGTGAGTGGCATCCCTGTCTATGGCAGGGGTTGGAATGAGATGTCTTTATGGTCCCTCCCAACTCCAACCATTCTGTGAGTCTCTGATTGGAAATTGAGCTGCAGTGAGAAATCTGACACTTTAAAACTCTGCTGTTCACTGGGCTTAATACTTCAGTGCACGGCGAGTCATGAGATTGGTTTGCTTTTTAGTGAGTGTTTCAGTCAAAAAAAAAAAGCCCAAACAACCCAAACCCACAACTTATCCCCATCCTGAACATGCCAATCTTGAGGATTCCCTCCTGGCAGTGTTACCCTGTCCTCACAGCCTAACTGAAGATAATCTTCTGGAAGGTTCAGAGCCCTCCTCTGTTCCCTGGGGTGAGATCTCTGTTGTATTAGAATGTGCTGTAAAGGAAAACTATAGTTTTTTTAAGCAAATCCCCCAAATTTCAGCATGGAGGCATCAAAATACTTTGCTGTAGGGAATTCTGCCACCCCAGCAGTGACCTTACCTGGGTGTCAGTGTGAGTAGGGAGGACTTCAACCATAAGCTGCTCCAAGAGTCTACGTTTTGGGTTTTTTTTCCTTTGCCATAGCTTTAACAAACATGGCTTAGCACTTTGGAAGACAATTTTAGTACTTGACAAAGTTTACCATTTAGTGTCTTAACTTTAGGTTCAAGTTTTCAAACTTGGCAGTTGGGCTGTTGTGTGATGTCCAGTAGCTGCTGTCCATGTGCATGTCAAACCCCTCTGCCCTGGCTCTGGACCTTGCTGTTCCTTCTGCTGGGGGCAAAGTGTTCTGTCTGAAGGGAAGTGATGTCTGCACGAGGTTCCCTTTGCTGTCAGACTTGCTGATGAAGCCTTCACCTCTTTGCCCCTGAAGCAAAGAGCTGGTGATAGGTGAGAAGCAATAGGCTTTGCTCCTGCTTTGTCCTGCCTGTAATTCCACTGGCTTTGGCATGTGGTACAAGTATTCCAATGCTTGGGGATTCTCCTGGGAAGGAATTACCCGTCCATGGCTTGGGGCTTTCCTAGCACTTGTAAATATGTGTCCCTTCTGGCTGCTGCTCCAGGTCAGCTTTATCCCCTCGTGAAAACGGCACAGGCTTCTTTGAGTAACTTAATTATGTTCTCTGACTGGAGAGAGTTGGGTTTTTGTGACATGAAATGGAAGTTTTCAGGCCCCAGAGCACAGAGGGGCAGTTTTCAAGGAGGTATGTTGTTGCTGTATAGACTAGTAGTGCATGTCCACTGAATATAATGGGGGGAGGGAGAGTGGCCATGGGAAATGCTGTAACAGTCATGGGGAAACTTCTAGAGTAGTGTCAGCCTCCCTTCCCCGTGGGATAGCTGAGGGGGTGGGCAGTCCCTTCGAGGTGTTTGTGGAGCTGAGCAGTCTGTCTAGGAGCTGTCTGTCACTTGGTCCCCAGTTCTTTCCAAAAGTGTGGGAGAATGTGAAGCTTTTATTTTCATGTTGTAGTGAATTTACTGAATATTTATGTTCCTTAAATATGATATATATATATAATGTAGTTGTTTGATTAAACCATTGATTGCACTGTGCCTATTTAGTGCTATAAACTGATTTTCAGAGTGACATTATTCCTCCCCCTTTAAGCTATGTTATTTTGTAAGTCCAGAATGTGTGTTAGGTACGGGTAAGCCTAATATCCAACTATAAAGTATCTCCTCAAGTCCCACTGAAATGCTCAAATGGACAATAAAAGTAAAAATGGTATCAACAACCTGCTGGAAATTCCAGTGCTGCTTCCTCTTGTAGCTGATAACAGAATCCCTTTGGCCAGTTCGTGCTGTCCAGGTGCAGCTGAGCTCCTGAATCAGGGCTGGCCCCAAGTCCCTCGAGAGCAGCTCAACTCCTGAGCATGTCACAGGCCTTGAATGACAAAGAGAGGCACACAGAAGGTGGCAGCTCTTCCACTGACCTGGCAAAGGTGCTGCTATTCCAATCAGATCCTGCAGCCTGAGGAAGAGGATGAAGGATTTTCACAGCACTCGGGTTCGACCCAGTGACTTTGGTTGTGTTTAACCTTACTAAGCAGCTTCAATAGGGTAAGGATGGGTAACAACCCCTCACATCCTGCTCCTCAGCCAGGCTGAACACCAAACCTCTGAGAAACTGGCACCGTGGTGATTGCTGTTCCTCATTCAAGAGAAAGATGGAGACATCAGAACCAAGCTTGGGGGAAAGAAAGGACAAAGTCAAGCTTACTTGGCTGGAATGCTGCCATGTATTTAAGGAAACCAGACCCAAGTGCCAACACAGCATCTCTGCTTGTTCACAGAAGAGATCTCCCTCAGCTAAGACTAGTACTGACACACTCATTGAGAACATCAACTGTGGTCCCTTGTCCCTGTACCTTTTTGCAGCATACAACCAGTGTAATCTCTGAGCAAACAACTACCTAGAGTGACTACACAACTCACTAAGGTTTGGTTACAAACTGAGGTTTCAGTACCAGTCACCATTCCCAGTTCTCACCTGGGTCAGGTCTGGCTTGTGGGCAGAACTTTGGAATCAGCCCTGAACACAGTTCCCTGTGCAGCCTGGAGGTGCAGGAGCACCAAGCCTGGCTGGCTTCAACTCAGACTGCATTTTATCCTGTGGTATTTTCTTACCTCTGGATTGTCACTGGCCAGGGTCTAGGAATGATGCATTCTACGAGTATCCTGTTCTGCATTAATCTTGTGTTCTGAAATGCTGAAGGCTTTTGGCTCTGTTCTCCCTTCCAGATGCTGTGTTGGCAGTAAGGCTTGAACAGAGTGGGGAGCAGCCACCACGCCTCAGTGTAACAGGGATGTGAGTGTAAAACAGGTAACTCTCCACGACCTTTTCACAGTCCCAGTTCCGCAGCCATGCCGGGATCATGGCTAAGTTCTGCTACATGATTCTAAACTGTCCCTTGGAAATACAACAGCAGGAAACTCAAACGGTCAACTCCAGTTTGGGAACAAGTAGTGGCTTACTGCAACAAGATGTGCTCACAGCTCTGTAGCATCCTGCTCTGTCAACACCAGGATGTGCATTACTCAGCTGCACAGTGAGCAGTGTGGCCGTGTGAGAACACAGCAGCAGCCACGCCAGACTGGTCATCCTCCAGGAACTCAGTGTCTTCTCCCTTGTCATCTGCAGCAGCTGGAACCTCTTCTACCTGGACCTCCCCAGGGAGGTGCACAGGACCCTCTGCCTGCCCCACTGT